ATTTAAGTTTTTTTTTTCTAAAAATAAGCAGAATAAGTCATTTTATTAATTATGGTAATTTTTTAGGTTACCCAGGAAAAAAAGGATTCAACACAAAGAGCCACTAATGGTACTAAAAACATGTTCAAAAAAAGGGTTCTCAAACCACTACTCCATGGAGAGGATGTTACAAGTGCAATTAACATGCCTCTTTTAAATCACATCAAATTTACCTGTAGTGAAGTAACAATTCCAGCTTTGGAAATTGAGATGCTCTGTTGTTCCATTGCTTCATGGATGCTTGTGCGGTCAGCATCGTTCATCTTAAAACAACAATAATTATTGACAAAATTTTTAAGTGCGATTCTCATAAGCTGAGGAGATCTTTCTGACAACAAAAACCAAAAGCAAAAAAAAAAAACATTGCAAGTCTTTCCCGCTACCATGACTGGGAAGTTGAACACCTGTCCAGCAAACTTCACAGGTATGCCTGTGATAAAGACTCAGATGGCCTCTGTTGCCTGAGACTTCCTTTTTCATAATTTTATTGAAGTGGTATCCCAAAACAGCACTAGTGACTACGTCACAGGTAGATAAGCTGCATACAGAAACCGAACTTTGGTGACTATGTAGCTTGCAAAATAGTAATCACAATTGACAATTTACCTTATCAAACTCATCAATTAAACAGACTCCTTTATCAGCCAGCACCAGCGCACCAGCTTCAAGTGTCCACTCTTTGGTAACAGGGTGTCTCTGGACATACGCCGTCAATCCAACTGCGGAAGCACCTTGGCCAGTGGTGAACACTGCCCGCTGAGCGGCTTTCTCAACATATTTCAAAAACTGAGATTTTGCTGTTCCAGGATCTCCACACAAAAGGATGTTAATGTCACCTCGGAGTTTGTGCTTTCCACCTGCAAAGAGCATTGACTAGTCAGTACATGGCACGATAACAAGGAGGTTTCAGTGGGGGTGTGTAGCCAAGGCCTTCCAATTTACAGGGCTCGAAAAAAGTCCTGTCTGATAGTTCAGGACAAGTAGATTTTCTTACAACGCAAGAAACTTTTAAAGCTTGCTTGCTCAATGGGCAGAGATCAGAGCAAGTCATTTTCTAACTAATCATCCACTAAGAAGAACAAGAATTGGACCCGGGCAGGCAAAACATAAGAGCTATTTACCTAAATGACAAGCTGGAGTTCAAGAAATTGTTTTTTAGCCTTAAAACTCTGACCCTGTTCAAGACAAAACCTGCTGATTTTGCTACCCTGTTTGAGACAAGACAAGGCCCAAATATGACTTTATTTAAAAACATCTTCTTTGTTTCTCTAGTTTGAAGCCACCAAGATTTTAAAGGTAGAAAATTGTGCAGATCACCCCACAGAAGCCACAAAAACCACGCCCAGTTTGCTGACACATTCATGTTTAGGCCAAGTGAGAGGGTGTTCCCATCTTAATCCCACAGGATAGCTATGCCGCCTGGTTAGCTCAGTTGGTAGAGCGCCAGTCTGCTGAGCGGGAGGTCACGGGTTCAAACCTTGGCCGGACCAACACTTAGGGTCTTTAAATAACTGAGAAGAAAGTGCTGCCTTTGTAATGACATCTGCAAATGATTAGACTTTCTAGTCTTCTCGGATAAGGAAGAAAAACCGTAGGTCCTGTCTCACAGCACTTCACTGATCTGCTCTTGTGGGACATAAAAGAACCCACACCACTGTTCAAAAGAGTAGGGGACGCAGACCCCGGTGGTGTGGCCAACCTTAACAGGTTGTGGGATCGGGTAGGGATGGCACCTTGCATGGGACCTTTGAGTCCTGTTTGTGCCTATTCCCTCTGGGCAGGCCTGTGTCCAGAAAAGCTTGTAAAAAAAAAAATGCCCTCCAAAAATGTGACAGGCCACCATGGTCAAGATTTATACTGACCTGGATCTTTGGCAACTCCACCAAACATTGCTAACGCTATTGCTCGCTTAATGTCTTGATGACCATAAATAGATGGAGAAATGCTATTTATTATCTGCAATAAAGACAACTTTAAGGGTCAATCAAAATAGATGGATTTTCATTAAAGGTCCAAGTAATCTTCAAACACCCCAAACTTTTTATTTAATTATTTGTTTTTGCCAAACAAAATAAATTAGAGTAGGTAGAAGTATAAACATACTAAATGGATAAATTAAAATAATTATTATAATTATTACTAATTATTAGTAAACTTCTGGGAATTAACAAACTTATGGGAATTAGAGATTTCCATCCACTGGCATTTTAACCTGTCTGACCCTTAACCCTTTAAGCCCTAAGAGTGATCAGCATCAAATTTCTCCTTGTAACATCACTTCTGTATAAAACAGAGTGGTCATGAGAATTAAGGACATGATCACACAAGATGAATCCAACTGATACTTCAACAAATTCTTCCCACTACTTCTATTGAAAACGTATCGAGATAACAAATGAGAATTTCAATTTTGATATTAGGGTTTAAAGGGTTAAAACTGAAAATTGTCTTCTGGACCAACAAAGATATTCCACCTATTACAAGCATGAATAGTGTTTGCATGTCTCAATTCACGTTATTTTCAGTTTCAGATTTCGAAAAAGCAAATTTACACATAACCTTCTGATTCTAAGATGCAATGAAGAAGGGAATATTGTTTCATTAAAGTTCTTAAGATTCTGCGCACCAAATTCTGACTTTGTCCATTAGATAATATCAAATTAGTACCTTTTCTCCAATTCTCTCATCCTTTGATAAATCAATAATAGCCTTGACATCTTCATCGGTTAAACTTGTGACAGCTAATTTGTCATCCTGTTTGGTAATGTAATTAGCCTCAATCACTGTAGCAAACACTGGAAAGCCATTAGACCGGTTTAGACTGCTGTCATAATTAATTCTGTAAATTCCTGTCAATTCCTGGTAATAAAGATACACAATAAAGAATTCAAAATTACTGAGTGAGAAAAAAAATAATTAGAACTTCTCACAGAAAACTGTGATCCAAGACAAGCCAAAGCATGCAACTGGGAGCCAATTCAAGCTGAACCATTTAATTTAATCGCACCTTTATTACAAAACATCAAAATAGTACAACAGAGGAACTAACAAAGAAAACGCTCCCGAAATTACATGCCACAGCAAAACTTACAAACAAAACATCAAGAAACTATTCTAATTACTGTAATGAAAAGTCCTGGCTAACAGAGGCTCCAAAGAGACACCAAATGACCATGGGAGGCGATCACTTAAAACTACCCAGCTTGAAGGGTGGGTGGGCGGAAGATGGTCAGGCAAGGGCGAATGACAACAAGAAAACTGGTACATTACAACCAACCATGTGACTAGACCCCTGAACACTCCACTTTTCCAGGGAAAAACATGTACAAGGAGACTCAACAAGCTTGACAAGCCAGCAGTACAGTTATCACTTACAATGTCATCTCCTGGTTTGCAGCTGTCTACAAGATCACCAGTCAGAATGACATCTTTGTATCGGGGAAGCCTGCCTGCTGCAACTTTGCTAGGACTTTCCTGAATCTTTATCTTTTGAAAGTTTTGATAAATAGTCTACAAGGAAAAAAAAGAAAAGTTGTAATATTTTCTCACTTATTTGTTACAACACGAAATCTGCAGTTGACTTTCAGGGTTCATTCGCTCAAACGCCAGGTTTTAATTGACCCAATTGGTAAGAAATTAAATCCTGGATTAAACTCGCCCTTTTCTTTACTTGCAAAACAAAGGGAGAATTTGACAACTAATAGAGTAGAGAAGCGATGGTATGACAAAATCTAAATTAAAGAAATTATGGGACTGGGCAGGATAGTCGGAAAGAACATGATGAAAAAGGTCACTTGACAAAAATCGTTGGGTTAGTGCAAATTGTTGGTGAGATTTAAGTGATGTTGTGTTCAATATCCCAATCAATCCCATACTTTTGCAAATTCAGATTTTTGTGACGTCACACTTCTTTACACAACTGAGTCACTTAAGCCCTTCCTTCACCATACCCTAGCCCAAACGTCCTTCAATGTATAAATTTGCCATAAAGACTCTTCAGGACCCGAGAAACCAATACGATCCACTACAAACTCTATTTTCTTCACAATCTAACCTGATCCATGTTTATTTCAAAAGGTCCTCGTGATTGACATTCTGGGCAAGAGCCTGGCTTGACCTCTTGATTGGGTGATTGGAAAAATGGCCCTAGGATAAAAGAGCACTTCTGACAGTCATATTTCACCATGCTGAGCTGTGGAAGAATGCCTGTGCTACTTGTCACGACACCACAAGTTCGAATCAACTGGTTCACATGCAGCTGTCTGCAAAAATAAATAAACAAACAAAATAAATAAGCAACACTGTGTACTCCCAGAAAGAATCCATACCCAGACAACCCCTCCCCCCACCCCTCCCTGCCTCTTTCAGAGATTAGAAATTCCACAGGGGATGCAGTCATAGAAGAAGAATATTCCTTTCCATGGGGAGAATGGATATTTTTTGGAATGTCACACTAAGCAAATTTTCTTTACTGGTTTCCAAATGTTTGGTGCTGTAACCTGAACTAGATGTCTGAAAATAAACTTTTGTTTGTACTGATAGCTTGAGCTTTTAAACATTGTTATGTGCAATAATATTATTAAATATTCTTATTGATGATAGTTATCATTGATTTTTATGGATCCAAAAAAATCCCTGCAAGCATTGATCTAGTGTTAAGCTTTGAACCTATGTGAGAAGTCAAAACAACAAGTATGAGGATTGTTACGAACTGCCATACCTTAATGATCTTAGCTCCTCCATAAGAGGTAGGTCTGCAATGCGTACATGGATATCACTTGCAATGCGGTCATAGTTTGGAAACATTGCAAGCACTACCTCCTTTGCACCCTGGAAAGAAGTCCAACTAAAATTAATGTTGCTGTTCAAAAGGCCCCTGCTATAAAACATTCAAACCAGTTTAATTTTTAGTTTACTTTGTCTTATATCAGTGAAAATATTTAACTAGGCTTGAAGAATTGATTTGCAGTAAAAATTTAGCAGTCTCTATTGAGAAATGATATTGTCTAGGTGAAAGAGACATTGCTAATCATGCCACATGGAGGCGTGTGTGGCCAAGCGGTTATCACCTCAAACTCTGATCTGGAGGTCCAGGTTTCAACCTCGCCTGTCGCGTTGTTTCCTTAGACAAGGAATGTTACTCCACTTGTCTCTCTCCACCTAGCTGTATAAATGGGTACTTGCAATATACTGCTGGGGGGTAACCCTACAATGGACAAGCATCCCGTCCAGGGGGGAGTAGCAATATTACTAGGCATGTTTCATGCTACGGAAACTGGGATGAGCGCTGGTGGTTGGGGCCTTTGGCTCATGTGTGCCTTTAAATTTTTTAATTTACCATAGTTCTAACTATGACTCTGTCAACAAAACCCTCAGCTCGTGAGACCATTTAAGTAGCATCTCTATAATACTATTTTCAGCTCACAATGGAACTGTTTATTTCTACAATCCTGCACAAATGTAGTTGGGAAGGTTGTACAAATTGACAACAGTTCACTTTAAAGTCCAAAAAGATGGTTTTCCCCTTTGATAAATACCCCCCATCCCCCTTACTCAATGTTGGGATATAAGAGAACAGGGGACCAGTGGGCAGGGAAAGAAGGAAAAAAAGAGGTAAAACATAAAAGCCTTATCAACACTTTTGACACTTTCTAGGTTCTTTTCAGTTGGTCACTAACAGGAGTGAAAGAGTAACACTTCCATCTGATAAGTCTTAGTTGCTAATTACCTCGTCAAAAATTTGCAAGACTTCTGATGGTGCCTCGGGAAGAAAATATGCTAAGACCTGTTGCTCATTTGCCAGGATGTTATAATCAACAACAAGACTTTGTCTGTTTGCTAAGAAAACAGAACAAACACAAAAAGGGCATTAATGACTTTGACACATGTTGCAGGGCTGTCACTAAAGGCCAAGGAGCAGGAACTTCCTGTGGCTAGGATAAGAATGATTCCCCCTCCCCGGCTACTGTCATGAAAACAAGAGGAAAATCGAACCAAGAGAACTTCCTAGCTGCTCAATTCCCCTACCTACTAACTTGAAATCTTAGTGACATCCCTTTGCTGTCATTCCCGTAGTCACCCCAAAATAAATTTTCAGACAATAATATGGTTCAGACTTATCAGTGTAACCTAGAATCAAATCAAATCAAACACATACAGTTGTAGCTCACAAGAGTATGTAAGTTGTTATCAAACATGTAATCACACTTATTCACAATCATTGAAGAAGAAGAAAGAGCAGTCAAAGAAATGTAACGATTTTGCCTTTGTAAATCTCTTCTGTTGGATTTTGCTGTTGCTGTTCTTTGGAGATGGCTTATCCCATAAAAATTATGCTGAGAAGAAAAATAAATAGCATCTGATCTACCTTCACACATCTGTGATATCTTCTCCCTGTAAACACTATGCCCTTGATCATCAACAAATGACCGAAGAAACTGTTTAAATCTGTTCTTGATTTCAAGTCTGGGAGCCTGCATGGAAACCCATTCCCGTACAGAATGCCCTTTCATGTCTTCAAGGTTTTCAATACTTTCAATAAGCTGAAGAGAGAGGAGAAATACTGGATTAACCTAGTGTAAGGTGACAATCTGTTCAGGCCATTCACTCAAATGTCACTTTTGAATGTGGGTGAAATGTTCCAATGTTCTTAACATAAACATACATTTTGTAAGTTGAAGTTTCCCTTTAAGATTTCAATACCTCATCCTCATCTTGCAAATCTCCATCTGCCGCTCTTTCTGCAAGCCGACGCCTTCTTCTAGGTTGTTCCTCATCCTCTTCATCTGTTTCATCTTAAAAAACAAGAAATCAATAAACTTTTACATTAAAACTTTACCAAAAAATATATACAAAACAGTATTTTTAAGGCTGCATGGAAAAAGTGACTTTTCAGGTCAAATCATGTCACAAGAAATTGTCTTTACCATAAAGAAGTCCTCGATGAAGTCGTCCCATGGCTGCTGCCTCCTCTCGGTCCCTCTTTCTCATTAACCGCTCAGCTTCTTGCCGAGCCTCGGGAGCCATCTCATCATACTCCTCTTCATCTAAAGCACCAGCCTCGTACACATCAAGGGCTGGAATTGGACGGTAATCCCTACAAATACAAAAAAGCTCCTATAGTTTTAAACAAAACATAACAAACATGTACATCTCGTCACGCAGGAAATGAGATGTGACTGGTAACTTACGTTTGGGTGGTACTGTAAATAATTATTTTAAACCATCTACGTCAAGTCCCTGGACCACCCACGTCACATTACCCTAGAAAAGAACTATGGTGACCTTTCATGTGTTTGCCAGAGTGAACACTATTGCCAAAAACCTAGAGTGAAAACTATTGCCAAAGTGAAAACTATATGCCAACTACTACTGAAGGCAATGAACAACTCCTAAGTAACACAATGAAATCGTACATGCCAGCCCCGTACAAGCATCATAATAAACAATGGCTCTAAAGCTTTATTTTTAATAATCAAGTTCTTTCTGTCTTTCATTATCTTAAAACAAAATAATTATTATTTTCCAATAATCCACAAAATTTTTATCTAGACAGTGGCCAAGGACGAAAACAACCCTAAATGCCAATAAAGTGACTGTTTCAACTTACTGTTCCATCCTATCACCAAACAACTCTTCTCCATCTTCCTCGTCAACCACATTTTCATTTCCCAGAACTGCGTCAGTTTCATCTTCAAAAGGAGGTAAGTCTCTACCAGGACTTGACGTTAGACCGTCTGTCCTCTGAGGACTACTTGGTACACCAATGCTGCTTGAGGATTCCTGAAAAGAAACAAATAGTTAGAATAGAAAAAAACAAAACAAAACTCAGAACAAAACTTGAGACAGAAAATGAATATTTGGTCCAAATCGCTTCAACTTCATCAGCGTTGTGAAGTGTCAGGTTGTGCAACAGAAAAGTTGCTGCATATCCTCAGCAGTGGATTGTAAATTGCTGGTAAGTCCAGACCAGTGGGTTTTCTTAGTTTGATGGCTATGACTTCCTTGATGTGGCTCTTGATGGTGTTATTTTTGTTGGATAGTCAGGGTTCTCAATAGAAGCCAGCACCCAGCGATTGATCTCCACCTACTTTGGAATTTGTAGCCGCTTTCTTTGCATTCTAATTGCTACTTTTCTCTCTCTAGTTTATGGCCCCTCCATTTGTCACAGCCGCCTACTTAAGGTTGGGCAGACACCTATTTCAAATCCTATTCAGAACCCTGGATAGTGCTTTTTAACTGTATGGGTTGATGTTGTGACCTGTTGCCCTGCAGTCAGGAGTATCAATGGATTGGTCTTCTTTGATCAGGGAATTACAGTTGGACCTCTCTACGACTGTTGCAATACGCTATTGCATATTCAATTAGCCGACGAGTGTTTAGGTCGTTATTCCCAAAACAGACCATTCTTAGGGCATATTCGATTAGCTGTAGATCACGCTAAAAATTATTATTCATTGTGCAGTGTAACTTAGTAGAGAAAACCGTTAGGACGCTGAATAAACTTTGCTCGTCAAAAAGTTGTCTTGTCAGGATATTTCTTCATGCTGGAAGCAGAAACTACATGAGGAAACAACAACGGCCACCTTGTGGACAGAAGAAAGTGGCCATTGTAGAGAGGTTTAAACAAGAGTGAATGTATGGACTGTCCGCCAAAAAATGGCTGTTGTAGAGGGGTGGCCATTGTGGAGAGGTGGCCATTGTGGACAGAAGTGTTCTTTGATCCAGGTACAAAGGGACCTGGCGGTCTCGCTAATGTAGCTCTCCAGGCATTGCTCATTGGTAATGAAATGAATATTGTTATTTGCATTGCATGATGCCTGTCAAAATCGATTTGAAAAAATTGCGCTAGTGGGATTACGATATCGAAGCAATCCGAAAAATTTGTCAAACACAAAATTTTTAACCAGTTTACAACACTAATCTTCATTACATTAAACCTAAATTATTATATCATCTATAATATTGTATCTATGTTATTGCAAACTAGCTCTTTCCAATCTTCACCGTTTCCAATTGATTAAGACGCCATACTTCTCATGAACTCAATTCACTGAATTTGATTGGGCAAATATGAAGCACAGCATCTGAACTGGGCTTAAGAAAGTTGCATAATAAAAAAATCCCTTGGGTTCAGCACTGATCTCCCTAGAATGTAATCCTAGTGGATTTTGATGAAAAAAAGTTTACATGTATATTTTTTGTTTTAATTTGGAAAATTTAAAAATTAGGAAAAATTAAGTTACATAAGTTTGAGAAAAATTTAAGAAAACGTCATTATTAAAAAAGGTAGACTCCATTATAAATATGTGATATCTGCGAGCCACAAGGCCAGTGCTGAGGTTCTCGTGATATGTTGCATGCATATTTACCATATTTTTTCCAGAAGAATTTAGCAAGCTTTTATAATAACAACGATCAAATTTTAACCAATCACGATCTACTTGCAGCTAGATGAAGTGAGCAATAAGATTTTAGCATATTTAGCGATTCCAACAGTTGTACAAGCCCGGAAACGCTTTGCAATCAAAAGTGTACATTTCTGGATTGAAAGTTAGCTTTGAGATTCATTAACGACCGACAACTCCCGCATACATGCATGGAATCGACAAAGTTCGTCAAATAAGGACTATGAATAAATTACCAAGCTTATTCTAAGCTTGAATCAATCGAACAGAATGAGACATGAAATCAATAGAAAAGTTGCGGCACACTCGAACGAACAATGTTTCTGCACAACACAAAGCTACACGAAGCCATGCCGACTGAATTTCTAGCCATAAAAGCGATCGAAAAGCAAAAACAGGAAATACACTGCAACCAAAATGAGATCGATCTGAAGACTAATCGTTATAGAAACAAGAAAGGGTGTAAGATCAAGAAACTAAAGAAAATTTCTTTAAAGATTTGCTACGACTCACCGCCATGCTGTCTTCTTCGGCTGAACTGTTCACGTGACGCAAATTTTCCCGCGTTTTTTCCCTTTCTCGTGAAAACGAGGCGCCACCGATCAGCTGATTGGAGAGAGCTTGGGAAATACTTTTACTGTTCTGTTCTCAATAAACTTCTTCCAGATCACAGTCGCGTAGCAAGGTTAGATTTATTGGAAGCGGAGAGGGGGGGGAGGGGGGGGAGTGCAATCACGAGCGCCAAAGGCTTTAGCTGCTAGGGGGGGGGGGGGGGCCCCGGGGGCGCGCGGGGTCTCTTATAGACATTTTTCCCCCTCCCGAGAATATTTATTTCAAGAAATTTTTACTTTTAAAACCAAAAAAAAAAAAGCGCTCACCTTTTCTAACCCAGAAATAAACAAAAAACACCAACGACAGGGGGAAGGGGGGTGCGACGCGGCGGGTTTCGACTCTGTGCTTCCACTTTTACCCAGGATGACTCTGTGGGTGGGTGGGGTACGTGTGTTGTTGTGGTCGTTTTTTTCTCATCTTCACGTCGTTTCGAGTGTAGAGCGCGTGTGGGGGGGTGGTAATGTGGTGGGGGGGGGGGGGGGGGGGGGGGGGGGGGCGGGGGGCACAGCGGGAGGTGGGGTGTGGGGGGGGGGGGGGGGGGGGGGGGGGGTCCTGGGGCATGCCGGGTCTCTGATATAGCATTTTCAGCCTTCCGAGAGCATTAATTTCAAGCAAGTTTTAACTGTTGAAGCCATAAATAAATAATGCTCACGATTTATCGAACCGAAATATACACAATGAACCGAAGAGCAGCGTGAAGAGCGTGGCCGCTGGCCGTTTTCGAAATTGGCTTCTCCACTTTTCCAGACGGATTTCCCTCAGCTGGTCTCAGTCAAAAGTGGAAAAAAACGTGGAAAACCCTTTATGGCAGGCGCAAAAAGGGGAGGGGAATGGGGAGGAAAGCGCAAAATGGAAAAGGGACGGGAAAAGGGAGAAGGGAAGGGAGGCTCTCTCCCCAATCCCCTCACTCTTTCCCTTTCTCAGCCCAACATCCTACCACTTTTGGCGCCTGTTATGCAGGCTACCACAGAAGTCTATTATTCCGTGAAAAGCCTATTAGCAGGGGCGACATTAGCCTGCTTAACAGAGGTTATTTTATTCGCGTTTTTCAGGCTAGGGCGACATTTTTCAGGTATGCGTGCGTACTGGTGTATAGATAGCTACGCTCCTATCAGCGCTAATAAAATTTTAATTCACTATTGTATTTATTTTCCTGTTGATGGCCTTGAGTATCAATTGGTGGTATCACAAGTCCATGTTCCTAGATCCTACACAAGAAAAGTTTGCTTAAAAATTGGTAGCCTGCGTCGGAAGCGTGATTTAAACCAGAGTTTAGTTTTGTCTGTGGCGCAGGCTATGAAAGAGGAGCTAAACCTTAAACGCCATTTCGCGACGGTTTTCGTTATCGGTAGGCACCCGCTGTTCGGGAAATGAACCCGCGCCACTCCCGGACCTGACAAAGCGGTGTAAATCGTTAATAGAGTTCCTTTAAAACCTTTGTAGGATCAACCTCGTCCCTAGGGCGCTTTTCCCTGTTGTAGGATTCATGGATATTCAAATCTCCGGTGCTCTGCTTTTTATCAGTTTTTAATGTGATCGTGTCAGTTTGTTTCTTGTTTCTTTTTTTTTCTTTCTTCTTCCTTTTCCTCTTTATGGAGTATGAGGGGGAGGGGGCTTTTTTTCTAAGCCACAGTGCAGTGCTTCTCTAAATTTGGTTGAGCCGGTCCCTGCTTTCAAACAATCACTTAACAATCACACGAGTGTGATGATAAATAAAACAATTTTACGCTAATGTAGAAGATCAAGTCTTCGTTTCGTCTTTATTTAACCTATAGATTTAAAAAAAAAGACCAAAGTAACATTCATAAAAAGTATCCACTTTAATTTTGGTAAAGTACTGCAAAAAATAACTAAGAATAATTCACATAACCGTCAACAGAAGCCTCTGTTGAATTTCATGCATGACAAGACTACCAGAACCCAGAATCCAGTTCCTGGAATCCAGAATCCACTGTATGGAATCCAGAATCCAAGACTGTTTTGGATTCCCTTGCATGGAGCAGAATGTGGCTTGCTTTGCTCAGTGGATAGCTTGCTCGCAGGCTACCCAATATTATACATATTCAGATCCATTAGAATTTTGGACTACTTGATTATCGAAATAAATGTTCAAGCTCTTCTAAAGATTTTCCTTTGGTTTCTGGGACAGTGAAAAAGAAAAATAGCCATCCACAAAATGCAATTCCGCCATACAGCCAAAACGCTCCATAGCGAGTGATCCATTCCGTAAGCGAAAGAAAAGTCATGGAAATTATCAGGTTGAAAGTCCAGTTTGTAGCAGTGGAAAGCGCATTTCCAGTGCTTCGTGCCCAGAGGGGGTAGATCTCAGAATTGATTGTCCATGGCATGGGTCCCATACCTGGAGCAAATGCTGCAATGTAAAGGATTAAGGCCACAATAGCGAGCCAGGCATATTTGAAAGGGCAGGCCAGGTATGACCATGAGGCTGAATGGCCTGCTCTACTGCACCGTCCATAAGTAGCAGTGCTGGGACTAGATGTGTTAACTGGAATGCAAGATCCATTAATGGGGTTGTTTGCAGTGTCTGTGTCAAAACAAAATCCACATTTGGCATCTAAACAGTCTAAACAGTGCCTACCAGTGACAGGGCAGTTGTTCGTGATGTAAGAGGGTCTCTCCTCTTGGAAAGCTATTGGTGCATCATATTGCTCAGCAATGTAAAAAGCACCTCCCAGCAGACACAAGCTAAATATGACACCAGCAAGGCTTACTAGGAGCAGTTTCCGGCGGCCCATCTTCTCTACAAGACAGACACCTACCAGAGTGAATAAGAAGTTACCAAAGGCTACGACTGCCGCCAACCAGATGGCGAGCTGTTCACCTTGAATTCCTGACATCTGTATGATAGTGGCACTATAGTACCTGTTGTAAAAACAATAGGAATTAATGCTCAATTTTTGTGTGGTGCACAACATTCTGGAAGCTCTTGGATGCAACTTGTGCACAAGGTGCAGTTGGGAAAGACTTGGGGAGTCTTTCTGTCTCCCTGTCCATCTAATGTTGCTTTCACCATCTTGTTGTTTAAAGGGGTTACATCATGCTATTTGCTATCTTTTTTTAAAGCTTAACTTGTCTTTGCATCAATTGAATATCAACTATAATTACACTATTACACTAGGCATTGAAGCTATTTCCTGTCATCTGTGGCAATGAATGGCAAGGAATTGACATGGATTAATTTAATGCTATGCCTTGAAAAATCACCAAAAATTATTTTGGTTTAAGTGCACCCTGGCTAATGAAATTTGTTTGAATCTTATCTATCTCTCTAAAGGAGCTGTTTTCTGTATGGGCAAAGACACTATACTAAGTAATGACTTCAGCACAGAATTGACCTAAAACAGGAACATTATCCTTATGACAAAGCTCCTTTAAGGGGGCTGTGTCACGGCAGTCCAGTTCATTTTGTTTAATTTTGCCAATTACTTGCCCTCAATCGCTATGGAACTTAAAGTAAGCAAAGAAATTACAGGTAAATGACAAAATCAGAGATCTGAGACAAACAAATGGTCTCCTGGGCATTATTTTTGAAGTTGCAAGCAGCAGGGATCAACTTTGAAAAACGGTTGGGCTGAACAGTTTTCAAAAGCCCTAATTTCAATCCGTTTCAATCTTCTTCAGTTTTGCCCATCCGTGGCATCTGTTGTTTCTGGATTGGATTTGTTGTACAAAAATTACAGACCAGTTAGTAACTTACAATACGTATCCAAGTTGACTGAAAAAGTCGTTTTTAATCAAGTTTATGATCACGTGGTTTCAAATGCTATTTTTCCTGCGCTTCAATCTTCTTACAGGCAATTCCATAGCACTGAAACTGCACTTATCAAGGTGATGAACGATATTTTGTTAAAGATGAACTCTCAACATGTCACTATGTTAATTTTATTGGATCTCAGTGCTGCCTTTGACACTGTTGATCATCGAATACTTTTAGAGAGGCTATCTGACGAGGTTGGCATACGTGGGACTGCTCTGAATTGGTTTAGATCGTACTTGTCTGATAGAAGTCAGCGCGTTTCTGTACATGGAGTTCTTTCTCGTCCTTTTGACTTGAACTGCGGGGTACCCCAAGGCTCATGTTTAGGGCCTTTGCTATTCATAATATATGCGTCCAAGCTGTTTAAGATCGTGGAACATTATCTTCCTGATGCTCACTGTTTCGCTGATGATACGCAGCTGTATCTGAGTTTTAAACCACTCGGCAACACTGCTCAAGCTGATGCTATACAAGCTATGGAAAAGTGCATTGACGCGGTGAGGAAATGGATGATTCAAGATCGGTTGATGATCAATGATGATAAAACGGAGTTTTTGTTAGTCGGCACACGACAACAGCTTGATAAATTAGATTCGTGTTCCATAACTGTGGGCAATAATCGTATCAGTCCAAGCCCATGTGTTAGAAACCTTGGATCGTGGTTTGACAGCAACTTAAGCATGACTGATCATATAAACAAGGCTTGTAATGCGGCATTTTATCATTTACATAACTTGAGACGTATTAAGAAATACCTGTCGAGAGATTCTTTAATTACTTTGGTTCATGCTTTTATAACCAGCCGTCTTGACTATTGTAATGGTTTATTGTTTGGCTTACCAAATGTGCAGATCGCTAAATTACAGCGTGTACAAAATGCAGCAGCAAGACTTATTCTTGGCATTGGAAAGTTTTCTCACATTACACCGGCGCTTTATGAGCTGCACTGGCTGCCGGTTTCTCTGCGTATTGACTATAAGATTTTACTTTTGACTTTCAAATGTATTTATGTCCTAGCGCCAACTTATCTTAGCGATCTTATTAGCATAAAATCGAATTCATTATATAATCTTAGGTCTACTGGTAAGCTCTTATTGGACCATCCCAAGGGAAAGATGCACTCAACATTGGGAGCAAGATCATTCTCAGCAGCAGCTCCGAAACTCTGGAATGAGCTACCTGTGGAGCTTCGTCAAGCAACATCACTTAACAGTTTTAAATCTCGACTTAAAACCTATCTTTTTAAAAAGTATTTTTATAGTTTGTATTATAAACTTAGTTTATTTTATTCTCACGGTAATGTATTTTCGTTTTCTTTTAAACATGATTGTAAAGCGCTATTGATCAGCAAATGTAAATACGCGCTATATAAATTGGTAAATTATTATTATTATTATGTTATTTTAACCCTCCTTAAATTTTAGGTGATTATTTTTATGTTTCTCTTAATTTAACCGGCATTTTGTAATTTCCTAATTTGGCTGAATTTCGTGACACAGCTCCTTTAAGCTCCCTATTAGAATACTATGGACAGAATAAAATCTACACTTACATGACAGTATTTATCCCTGACAGCTGTTGTATCGCCTGCAGCATACATCCCACCAGAACTGCTTTCCTCATTGATGAGGAAGCTAAAATCTTGTACACTCCACTCTGAGTGAATGAACCAGAGTCTAGAAAAAAAGAAAAGGTTCTCCACAATAATCATCTAAGTTATTGTTAAAAGTTCCACAAGTTATGAACATCATGGTTCTCCAAACAATATCAATTCATAATTTCAATACTTTCATCACCTGTCAAAAACTGTCATTTTACCCCCAATTTTTTAAAACCTACCAATAATTCGAACCAATTTGCTTTTCCCAGGGTGGTTCAAAAAATCAGGATTCTTCTGTAAGACTAATATATGAAGAAAAAAGATGATGGTCAAAAGAAAAATTATCTCTAAAAGAGGAATTCTCAAACAAAGGGTTTTCTGTCTCTTTCTGTACCATCACGCCATAAATACAACAAGCACCACTGTACAGTGTAGGTTGCTTAGAGGATCTGCAGCAATTTTACTTTCCCATCTCACTTATTTATTTTGGTGCCTTAATTAGGACTGGTGCTATTTTATGGACAGTACTTAATTTCAACATGGCACTCTTTCAAGTAAAGAGAGATTTTCCGATTCAAGGATGAGATTTGACTCAAAGTTTTTTTTTTGTGCATAATATTCTCAAAAAAATATACATCCCAGAAAGCTTCACTGTCCCTTTTTTCACCAGAAAAGTTAGCACATTTATGTTTATTAAAGGATTTTGAGCCCTCTCCCAATTGCAAAATGATAAAATTCTTAGTATTTGATAACTTGTTTCTGCTACTGTGTCAGTCTCTATAAAACCCATAAAGGAATGACCATGCCTATTGAATTTTCCCACCAAAATGATGCTGCTTCAAGAACTTGCACTACTAAGTATTAGAAAAATCTCATCCTCGTAGCCGCCCTTGCCTTGGAATCCTAAGGTCTCTAATATGGTATGTGACAGTTTGCCAACTAAGGTCAATCAGTCAGTTAGTTAAGGTGGTCAAAACCAGGAACCTTATCAGCCCTCCATGACAAATTGATTGGTTTCTCAACACAGAGGCTTAAGGGAGGGGTGGGGTGTAAATGTACAATGCATCACCATGACAACCCCGTGAGTGAAATCCACACAGGCACCATTATGGTGGTGGCATTACCCAATTTTTGGGCAGATTTTCTCTATAAGAGCAAAAACACTTAGTGATATACAAATTACATGGCACATGGCATATTAATAGGGAAATGGTCTCACTTCCGAATGACATGCACTGCTCAAAAATGACTTTGCAAAGCTCTCTGTTAGTGTGCCCCTATTAATCCAATGCAAGAGACAGCAGACTAGCAATGTCTTGCGTTTAACTTAGCCTACAGTAAATTTCATTTTGCCACATTTAACACTTAACAGGTGTGGACTTACTTTCATCCAAGGAGCTTTCCTCTTCGACCACATTTTTCATGGCCTCAAGCTCTGAACTCACGTCTGAGGCACCCCTTAATTTCATCAGCACAGCCTTAGCTCGCTCACCATAACCTTTACTAAGAAGCCATCGAGGGCTCTCGGGGAGAAAAAGGCAACCAAAAAACATGATAAGAGATGGCAACGCAGCTAAACCAAGCATGAACCTAGGAAGACAAGGAGAAAAATAAAAATGCAGTATTAGTTTAATTTCCACTTGTGTCAGGTATGATGTCTGATTTAAGAAAAAGGTTAACTGACAAAACACTCAGGGTCTGTCACCACTGTTTGTCATTTCTGAGGTCCTTGTTATCTTGTCTTAAGTTCGTATAATTATTAGTTAGCAGGCCTTGGTGTGTGGCCTTGGTGCAATATAATAATTGAGTAAATGATTGTTCATATGTACCTCCATCCATTCCTTTTGTAAGGGCTAAAAATCCCATCTATAATGGCAGCAATGAACTGTCCACCAGTAATAAACATGTTATTGATGGTGACCATTCGCCCTCGCGTATTTGAAGGTGCTGTTTCAGCAATATACACAGGGACAGTAACCGAAGCACCACCTGTTGTTTAAAAACCAAAGGGCAGCATTTTAAAATTAATAACCAAATTAATAACTGATAATAACTGGATAATTGCTGATTTGTTTAAAAATTACTTGGAATTTTTTTTTTTGATTGCTCCTGGTGGTGATACCTAAATAATTTTTGTTAACATTCCATTCACAAATACTTTACAAACGCCAACCAACTGCACTTTAAAACACCTGAATCTGTTTTAAAATTCCTCCACTCTGGCCTGGAAACCTTGTTGCAAGCTGTTTTCTGGTCACCGTCTGACCAAAAAATAAATGAAGCAAAATCAAACCAACCAAAATGTTGATTTCAAGTCTAGCACCACAGTGGATTTTGTTCCTGATGCAAAACCAGAGCTTGCTAAGTATGGGCATGTGCAGAAGGTAATATTTTATGCAAAAAAAGTGACATTGGCCCCCCTGACAATAACAATATTATTTATTTTATCCAAGTCAATGAAAGTGCTAATGCAGTGTATCTTACCATCAATCAGAAATGTTTAAATTGTCTGAATAATTAAATCCCTTAATTTTACACAAACACCAAATGTCTGTTGGAACAATATATGCCTTAATTTGTATTTTCAAAGCAAAGTTACACGATTTTGTTTTTTCACTGCAAGTTTTATATTCTCATTTGAGCCTGCCACCCAAGTTACAAAACCACATCATCACAACAATTTTATTGATCTGCTGAAAATAGCAAAAGAGATGTGATACCACAGGCAGTTATGGATGGTTAGGGTGAATGGGTTAACAAAATCTGCTTTAATGTAAATTAGCCTTTTTTGTAGGTTTCCATGGTTATATTTTGGACTCTGTATAAAATGTGAGGCCAGAGTTTTCAAAACCATTTCCATGAATGTTAAAAATTGGGCCCTTAAAAATCAGTTTTCAGAGAAATTGAAAGGAAGGCCTAAAATCTTAACCTTGGGCTCTAATACCAAGCAGGGCTTTAGGGGTTACATAACGAAATTATCACTATAATCATTATCATTACTTTTTTTTTCAGAACTAACAGTTTTCATTTCACCTTTTAAACAAACAATCCAGACGGAAAAACTATGGTTGGATCAAAATTTTAAACCTCTTCCCTCCCTGGAACATTCCACTTTTTATCCACATATCCCTCCCTCCGAAAAAAGGCTCCAAACCCTCATTTTTTTGTTGGTACCCCAAGAAAAATGAAATCTGAATCTAATGTTTGGCCAGCACCTTTGAAAAGATTTTCTGAAGGTTCCAAATTTTCGTTGTTTGCTTTGAAGAGAAAATCCGAAGCCCCCTGGAATGAGCCCTGAAGTGCTGAAGGTTGATGATAAACAGAAAATCACATGACTGATAATCGCTCACACAGCCCTACATGCAGGCTAATGTCAAAGCTAGTCAAGACTGTTTACATTGTCAGTTAAATGAGAAACAAAACAATAAAATGAAAAATAAAACAAAAACACTCACAAACACATAGCACAACAGACAAAATACCATTTTTTAAGTGTCAAGCCAAGCTCACCTATTCCAAATCCTACAATAAGCCTTCCGAGTAGGAGAACCTCTCTGGAGTGAGCGACTCCCATCACTATTGCTCCAACTGTGAATACTGTCGCAGAGACCATTAAAATCGGCTTTCTACCGAGCCATTGATTTAGAAAACCTCCTACCAGGGCACCTAATATGGCTGTCCCTATAGTCACACTAACAACAAGCTCTTGCCAAAAATAGGACAAGTGAAACTCTTGTTTGATGAGAATCATAGCACCAGAGATCACGCCAGTGTCATAGCCGAATAAGAATCCGCCAATCGCCGCGAACGCGGTGAGAAAATAGACGTATCGTGGAGTTACTTGATTCGAAGGACTCTTTATCAAAGTTTCCTGTTCGTTTCCGCGGTCTTGAGACAACGGCAGTTCTAAATCACTGCTCGATTCGTTGTCGTCGTCCAGTTGAACCCTACCAGCCATTACGCTTACCTTTAAAATACTACTACCTCATGTATGCGATCTTGTGTTGTTAAAAGCAAAACAATGTAAACCACGTGACGAAGCCGACTGTCATCGCTCCTCGGCCCCGTCGCTGGGGTAACGAAGACGAACGGCCGGCTGTTTTCGGAGGCAACAATTGGATACTGGATCCACGAAACAGTTAGAAACCTTCATTTTCATTGGACTTTGAAAACAAACCTGCTATTGTTTACAGGGCTAAGGGCATTGTCTAGGTCATTCCTTTACTGTTTTATTGGTTGTACAGAAGGTGGGTAGCAATATCCACTGTATAAATCTCTATCCCAAGGACAGTGCAATTGGCTTTCCGGTGGATAGCGCTATCCAACAGGGGTCTTTTTTGCATGAGCATGCGCGACCGCTGACTTGTCAAAGAGCACCTGACCAGTGACAGCGACCGTGCTGCATAGTCATAGGAACCAAATTGTTTACTTTGAAAGCTTGCTTGAGATTGAAATGGTAGCAGGAACTTAGGAAAGACCTTCGTTGTACAAAATAAGTAAAGATCTGTTGATTTAAAGTGGAGACTGATGCGCTGAAAGAGGTGAAAGAGCAAGTTTCTCAAGGATGTCTGACACGAACATGGCTGCTTGTTGTCGTTTGGCGCTCGACTCGTGTCTTGATTCCCCTTTAAGAACCGCAAAGTTTGGCATAGAATGCATTGCTGATGCGTAGCTACTGAGCAAAATGTTCTTTATTTAGTGTTTGTCTATAAATTGGATGTAAATCAGTTTCTCGATACCGTAGAGGATTTCTGTCAATTATTTGTTAATAGCTGATTTAGCCATATTTCGGGAGTGGATTAATAACGATCAGCGGGCGACTACCACGCCGTTCTCAGTTGGAATAGGAAGTTTTTGCCTTAAGTATTTTAGCGATACAAAGTTTGTTTATAGGAAAATTGTAGAACTTCTCGTTTTTGCGTGGACTAACATTGTAACTCATCTTTTCGGGAATTTGCTTTTAGCCAGAACTTAAATGTTCTAATGATTTTTAACTTTTGGTCGGCATCACGTGTTTACTGCACTTCTTGGGAAACCTAACCGTTTGTTTCATCAAAATCGGTCACAAGATTGGACTTTAATTTCGGTCCTATTGAATGCAGTTTTGACTGTGTCTCATTGATATTCATTTTTTTTATTTTTCGGGACGTACAGAGTGACTACCACAAACATCTCACTAGGTGACTAATCTACGTCTCGTGTGCCCTTAATTTTGTAGCTTTAAAGTGCTGGGAAAATTGTAGAACATATATTAATTCACTGCTGAACTGAACATCGGCTTTCGCGCACTTCGAACCCACTCGCTGAAATTTGTTATGTTTTTTTTTAATATATCTCTTCCTTGCCGACTTCAAAACAAAGAAAAATTGAAAGTGTTTACTTGCATCAACAAACGTTTCTGCACTTTGTTTAGACTTTGATGAGGTCAGCGCAATCCTCCAGGCACTACATATACGCGCGCTGTTGTCCAGGTCAAGTGGGGAGATGAAATTTGATAGTAGCTCGTGTATGTTAAAGCCGGTCTACTTCGCTTTTGTTAAAACCATGTTAGAGTTTTTTGGCAAACTACACATTTTGTTAAATCACGAGCACATTCGCACAGACCAACGAGCAAAATAATCGCTATGATAGCTTTGAGACACGCCATTTTGATGAAGGCAAACCCTGTGGTGAGCCTCCATGCACATCGCTTGTTCAGCGGTCGCGCATGCTCATGCAAAAAAGACCCCTGTTGCGCTATCCACCTTCTGAACAACTGGGGCTGTCACCTGCTATTGTTTTTACTCTGATGACATTGTTTTGGGTCATTCCTCTCTTGTTTCATTACCCAATTGTTCTCTGGAAGAAACTTGACCAGTAGCGCTGATCCAGGATTAAAATTTTGCTCCACTTTTTGTATTTATCTTCCTATACATTGCCTAGGGTAACATTTAAGAATTTGTTCATGCTTAGCGTGCGTATATCGAGTTATGGATGCACGCGGGAAGTTTGGAGAGCACGAAAGATGCGCAAGAGTTGCACGAGGCGATAGCCGAGTGCAACTCTAGCTTCTTGAGTGCTCTCCAAACTTTCCAAGTGCATCCATAACTCGATATACGCACAGCTAAAAGCATGAGCAAATTCTTTTATAACATAGCTAAAAAATGCTTGCTTTTTGATTAACTACAAAATTCTCGTAACGCGCTACACAATAACAAACGGTTCTATTGGCTGATTACGAACACGCCACAATCGTATAGTTTGAATGAAAATGTTCTTTCTGTAGAACTGAGAAAGAAAATTTGCTTCTTTATTCGTTAACGATCAATGGAAACTAAGCAGAAACAAAGGTAAAAGAGTCTCAAAGTTCACCTAAAGGTAAAATACTAACATGTTCGTAAGAAGTCGTGGAGTATGGTTTGGATTTGCTGAAAAGATGTTTACGTTTTGCTCGGCGAAATCCAGAAAACATGTTTTTAGCGAAGACGACTGTCATCCTTCTTTAAACTTATATTCATTTACGAGCATTGGCTGGTCATTACGGCTTCTTGAGAAGACCTAGCAGCAGTTGTTTTTGTGAGTAATAAATTTATGTCTTCTTGTGTAATTTGTGTTGTTCATGATTGCGAGAGAAATTTTCCTGCTTCAGTGAGATTGTTCGGAGATAACAAAAGTGCGTAACAAAGTTAAAAACAACAATAAAAACGGAAATTTTACCCTTAAATGTTGTTGATGACCAGTTGGTGTCTGTTCTGTTCCCAGTGAATGTCTTTTGGCCAAACTTTACTGCAGCTGGTCTTCCGACAAATTTGCGCAACGCGCAACTTGCGAGTTTTTTTTAATCGGCTTTATTTTTGCTGCTTGTTGGACTAGGACCTACTGAGGTCAATGCCGATACAAAAATTGGGCAGTTTTTCGCTGGTTTCGTCCATATTTTAAAGAGAAGAAAAACTGCACTGCACTGCAGCTTAAAAGACGACAACTGTACTTTGCAGCCAGATAAAAAAAAATGCTCACGTCATCTTATTTACGCACGGGCGTGCGTAAATAAAGATTTTGTTCATAGCGGCTCAATAGGACTTATATAGGGCAAGCACGCGCGCTATGTTATAATTTGTGTTATCATTTCTTTTTTTCCGAGGTAAAGACACAACAGTATTTTGTAAGCTCAAGTTACATGTTCTTAGACAAGAAAAACTTGCTAAAAATGTGGCTTAATCTTGTGTTGAACTTAACCATCTTTCGAGGAACCGAGCCCTGCAGAACGAAACACCTGCCAGTACGGCCTGCTCAGCCTCGTTCCCAGTCGTCCCCGGCGATTTCGGGTGTGACGTCACCTGTCCAAGCCTCTTCTGGTCTTCTGGTCTTGGTCACTCAGATAGCGCGAACTGGCCTGGGTACGAGGCTGCGGCCTGCTACTGCCTTAGGGTCAGGGACGTCGGTTACCCAATAAACAACTCGTCTCTGAGACAACCTCGTCCCATGCAGGACGCCTTTCCCTTAGGAAAAAGCCCTGGGGACGAGCCAGTTGATTCTGAAAACTTCGTTCGAAATGCTAAACACAACGAGTGACGCACCAAAACGGTGCACCAATATGGCGTCTCCATACAAAGCTCTACAAAGGTGCATGAAACGTTCCGGGAAAAAACTCAGAAACTGTTGGCCACAGAGACCTGAGACTTTAACAAATTGTTTAAAAATTAGTCTTTTATAACATTTCATTTTCTTGGCTTCTTCCACTGGACGGTTTCCAATTTATTTTTTTATTGCGTGACAGTGAAAACGATAAATACTTCGCGCGGGAAATAACTTTCCTACACCGTTTAGTGCCTTTTAATCAGGAAGCCTTTCTGGAAGTACATAGACTTTTTTTGTTAAAAAAGTCTTTGCTAATGAAATATGTCGCACACTCACACTCGCAAATCTCCAAGTTTGCATTAGTTTGGAGAAGAACTTTCCAACTCTCTGACAAATGTGGACAGTTTCCGATCCTAGGAGTGGCCATCCTCAGAGACCCAGGGGCAGATAGTAGCTAGATAGTGGGGGCGAGAGAAAGTCTACACGGGCGGAAAAATATTGTGCGAAGAAAGCCCCTGGGTCTCCGAGGATGGGGGGTGACTCAGAGAAGGATGGGGATGATCCTGAGACAATTAGAATGGAACCCCGGGAAAGAGACCAGTATGGACGTCGGTCAGACGGCTTTATCAGACCACTAAAAAAGACTTGATTAAAACAAGCAACCATTTTCCGGAAACGAGCTGTAGTGATTTAAATTGTGTGAAAGCTGTTCAACACATTATAACACCGTTTGGGTCTCTTGAATAAACATATACAGACAATATTCCGACAATAGCTGTGATGAAATAAACCTTAGGCATGGTTTAAAAGCACAATGGCGCGTACGTTTTATATTCGTTTAAATACGTTTAGACAAGTCCTAGTCCTCTTCACAATATGCGTTTCCCCAGCAACACTTTAACTGCTGCCCGCAATCCGATGTTAAGCACCAGCCGTCATCGTCTGAGCATGCGCATCCCTTCCTACAGCTTTTTATAAGATCTATGACCTCTGTGGTTTGTCGGCCGGGGAGGGTCTGGTTTGCAAAGCAAGTTGAATAGATACTGTCTTGGCAAGCAAAGTCCTTGATAAGAGACTCCCAAGCAGCACCAAAGTTTTCGGAATCACAGTAGTAGCATTTCAGTTTTAATGTCATGTATATTCCTGAGGAGAGATAAGAAATTCGGATCACTATACCTTTCTGGGAAACTGCCCACCTACCCCTCCCCTAAGCCCACTATAACACGTACTTCTCGCTTAGGGTAAAATGTTGGTTTAGGGGAGGGGTAGGTGGACAGTATTCTGTGCCTCTGAATACAATACCTTTCCTACTACATAAGGCTTGTCGAGCCTACGTAGCAGGCGCTTGAGAGTTTTTAAAAGCTAAGGGCGCAACTAACAACAGAAGCGCTAGTCGTGAAGTAGGGGGGACGCGAACGGGGAGTGGGGAATGTCTTCTCTCTCTCCTGGCGGCCGTGTTCCTCGCTCACACCGACACGTCGCTCATCTCTTGTCCTATATTTCTTACCTTACCATGCGCCTATCTCACAGGTTAGAACATCCCTCAAGACAGCCGAAAAGTAAACACTGAAATGTACGTGTGTGTGTGTGTGTGAGAAAGCTAGACTTACATTCTCATCTAATTTGGGGCCGATATTTTGTTTTTGAGCTTGAAGTAGGCCACGCAGATACAAATTAAATTCTAGTTTGAGTACGGTTATCTCGAGTTTCTAGCTGTGAATAAATGACTGTTTAGACCAAACAAAAGGTGGAGAGTTATGACTGTTTTACCCGAAAGTACATTCTATGCGTTCTCTCGCATCTTGGACTATATTTTACTCTCCAGGGATGGGTCAAAAATGCTAAAAAGACTGTCTACTTACCGTCCCCTTTCTGTTCATGAACAAGCGAAGAAGACACGATTCCATCGAGCGGGATGCGAGTATCCCTGTTCCATAAGTTATACCACACCGCAAGGGTAAAACCTAACCAAAGCGGAAATTAACAACATATAGGTACGTATCAGGAAGCAAGCGTATTATTGAACAAGCGTGTGGACAAGATGACAGAATATTGGCCATGGTTCTTTCTTTGTGCTTTTATGGACCGAGACGAAGTCAAGGTCCATAACTACGCAACAAAGACTAGGAAAGCCGATATGCAGCCATCGATCTTGAACGAGCTGAGCAAGCTTGGTCAAGACAGGATGATGAAACTTTCCTTATCAATAAAGGTTTTCAGTCTTATTTGGCCAAAGATAATCTCCTCTAGCCCGACAAAGCGAATAATCCCGAGCGGGTAAGACTGGTTAAGCGTTACCCGCTCGGGTGAGCCAATCGGAGCTCAGGATTCGCCTTATGTCGTCCCCGTTGCTCTGGATATCGTTTGCAGTTTTTGTTTCAATAGTTACATGTATAAACAACGCTGAGTAAAACGAAAAGTTTGCATACAAATCAGATTCTTGTTCTAGATAACGAGGGAGTCAAATACAACCAGAAAGTACCAGTCACTTGTCTGAAGTCATTAAAAATTCATTTGAATTTGTGTCTTAAAAGCGAAGTACAACAGACTAGAGAACTTTCAGTGCAAAAACTCTACGTATACCATTTGCGGTAGAGAACTGTAAAGTACTATGCTGAGATTGTACGTCAACTAAAACTGTTTGTTGATTTAGACTTCTCATAATTACTTACCCAGAAAAGTACTAAGAGCAAGTATCTGTTGCCATTGAGGTTTGGCGTGAAAGCGTTTGACCGTTTCGGTTTGCGGGTACATTTTGTCCTTCACAATTTATCAATCGGATTTATCCCATCCGGTGAGCTTCCGTGATTTTGAAAACACTTTTAACACCGCATGCACGCACCATAAGTGCTTCCGATCCTTATCGACCAATCACCATAAAGTGAAACTTTAGTGGCTGACAGTCTTTTGCTGCGCTGGCCCTTTTTCTAAGAGCTCTTTCCCAGTCCCTTGGGTTTTACTTCGTTTAATTGAAACTGAAAATAAATATTACTTTCTTAAAAAATCTTTGTTTATAGTTACTTTGACTTTTCGACAATTTTTTGTTTTTATATATAATGTAAACTTACTGATTACGACCTGCAAAAAATGACCAATACCCAAATTTAATCATTAATAAAAAAAATTAAAATAATAAACTAAAGATCCCGGTAATAAATAGTTTTTTTTTAGCTTGAAAAGCGGATTTTTTTTTTTTTCACAAGTGAAACGCTTTTTTTGATTACCACTCTTAAACAGAAAAAGAAGAAAAATTAGCAGAACAAAATGGAAGTTCGGTCCGTGTGAGGGTCGAACTCACGACCTTCGCGTTTGGGCGCCATCACCTTGGCGTTATCAGCACCACGCTCTGCCGACTGAGCTAACCAGGGCGGATCAGGGCGGATAAAAATTGGGCGGTGAAACGAGCGCTCCGCTCTTTATTTAATGTGTGATGCGGAGTAGGACTGGCACGAGCGCTCTTTCCGCGCTTCCGGTGCCCTTGAAGGGCGGCGAAATTTTCCTTTTGGCAAACCGGAAATCCTATTTTCTTTCTGTAATTTCAGGCTACAATGTCAAATAGATAAATTCGTTTCATAACAATATCAATAAACAGTTTCATATGTTTGCGTCTGTATGCGTATAAGTCAAACTTGTTGGTCGTATAATGCCAAAATTTGAGTTTAATTTGAAAGTGTGGAAGACTTCCTTCTTCCACTAAATATCACCTAATCGTCTTTCGCCTTTTCGTTTGCAAAAGCTTAACACTTCTTAACCTCAATTTTTACATATGTTAAAGGGGGATAAATTTTATATAACATAACAAAAAATTAGATTGATATATTTTGATATAGTGGCGTTGTACGGCTTCAAACTAATCTTCTCGGGTGCAACGCGTCATGGCGATTCGCGCAATGCGTCGCAAATCCGGCAACCGCATGTAAACAAAATTTATTGAGGTTAGTTGTAAGGTTTTTTCTCCGATTTTCTCTCGAAAACAAAACAAGGTAAAGAGTAAAAACTGAGGGGAAACTAATTTTGAAGTTTCGAAGAAACAGAAAGACGTATGAGATGTTTCTTTTTTTTTTCAAAATTAAAAAGAAGGATAATGGTGATTTAAATTAGCATAATTTCACCTTGCACGAGCTGCACGCATTTATAAAATACACGTCATCTAGATATGAAACACGGTCTGCTGTCTTTTAGTTTTGCCATGGATGAGATTTCCTTCGTGTTTTAGACAGTACTTAGTTGTTTTTGGTTTGGAATAACATCGACATTGGCGAGTAGTAGAACGAAAATATAATTCAGTACAAATGTAGTAGAGTCATGGAAGTAATAAGAGAAACCCTTTGAAAGAGATGTTCTTCTACTCCAACTAAACCTCCCGCAAAAAATTGCAACATTTGTCTCTTGGAGACAGGGTACTAGCACAAAGGAAGGAGGAAGAAGTGCAAGAAAACAACTCAAGCCGCCATAATTCAGTGACAGCGGAAGTGTCTAATGGACAAACCACATCGCAAGCCCTGACCGAAGTCGAAAACGAGCGACATTTCTAAGCAGAGTCCCAGTCCACTGCATCACACCTTTTTGCTCGGACGCCCGCGTTTCACCGCCCAACCTTTATCCGCCCTGGGGCGGATAAAGGTTGGGCGGTGAAACGAGCGCGTCCGAGCAAAAAAGTGTGATGCAGTGGACTGGGACTCTGCTTAGAAATGTCGCTCGTTTTCGACTTCGGTCAGGGCTTGCGATGTGGTTTGTCCATTAGACACTGCCGCTGTCACTGAATTATGGCGGCTTGATTTGTTTTCTTGCACTTCTTCCTCGTTCCTTTGTGCTGGTACGCTGTCTCCGAGAGGCAAATGTTGCTATTTTTTGCGGGAGATTTAGTTGGAGTAAACAAACATCTTTTTCAAAGGGTTTCTCTGATTACTTCCATGACTCTACCACTGAATTATATTTTCGTTCTACTACTCGCCAATGTCGATGTTATTCCACTGACAAAAACAACTAAGTGCTGTCTAAAACACGAAGGGAAGTGTCGTCCATGGCAAAACTAAAAGACAGCAGATCGTGTGATTCATAACTAGATGACGTGTATTTTATAAATGCGTGCAGCTCGTGCAACGTGAAATTATGCAAATTTCAATCACCATCATCCTTCTTTTTAATTTTGAAAAAACATCTCATACGTCTTTCTGTTTCTTCGAAACTTCAAAATTAGTTTCCCCGCAGTTTTTACTTTTTACCTTGTTTTGTTTTAGAGAGAAGAACGGAGAAAAAACCTCACAACTAACCTCAATAAATTTTGTTTACATGCGGTTGTCGGATTTGCGACGCATTGCGCGAATCGCCATGGCGCGTTGTACCCGAGAAGTAAAGTTTGAAGCAGTACAACGCCACTATATCAAAATATATCAATCTAATTTTTTGTTATGTTATATAAAATTTATCCCCCTTTAACATATGTAAAAATTGAGGTTAAGAAGTGTTAAGCTTTTCCAAACGAAACGGCGAAAGACGATTAGGTGATATTTAGTGGAAGGAGGAGGTATTCAACACTTTCAAATTAAACTCAAATTTTGGCATTATACGACCAACAAGTTTGACTTATAGGCATACAGACACAAACATATGAAACTGTTTATTGATATTGTTATGAAACGAATTTATCTATTTAACATTGTAGCCTGAAATTACATAAAGAAAATAGGATTTCCGGTTTGCTAAAAGGAAAATTTCGCCGCCCTTCAAGGGCACCGGAAGCGCGGAAAGAGCGCTCGTGCCAGTCCTACTCCGCATCACACATTAAATAAAGAGCGGAGCGCTCGTTTCACCGCCCAACCTTTATCCGCCCTGGAGCTAACGGACCAAGCTCACGCCGATTAGAACTTTATAATCCACTGATTGAAATTCAAATGAAATGCACCTTGAGAATAATTGTATCCTAAAATTCGGTCTTTCGAGTGCCCATGAAAAAATACTTAGGGAGCGAACTTATTTTTGTTGAACAGTAATGCACCGGCATACAAAGTCTTCAAGCAGCAGAGAATACTAATCCGGTACCCAGATCTCCCACGGCCAAGACAGAGTGAGATTTAATTTGTGCACTTTTTTTCCGCTGACGTTATGGCGGCTAAGCTGTTGGACAAGAACAGAAAAGTTTTCCTCCTCTGGGAACTAGGCACTGCGAAAAAATGTAAATAAATAAATATATATATATATATATATATATATATATATTTTGTCCAGCATAGCTGTCCGTTGTCACGTCGGGTAAAACCAATAATAAAAAGAAAAAGGTGGTACTTTACTTTCAGACAAGGGGCATTTATGGTAAATATCCATCGGTAAAGGAAAATATGAATAAAATAAGGAAATATTGATAAATCTTTGTCAAACAATGGAAAATGTTCGTAGTACCTACGTTTTTGACTTAAAATTATTAAAGGAATTTTATTCGGTGTTTGGGATTTATTGCAAAATTCATTCGTTTCGGGAAATATCTATAGATTAAGGGCAAATATCATAAAAAGCAATTTGACTCATTTTACTTGGTGTTAACTCCTACGCATCAGCACTGATCAAACGACATCCTCTCCCGAAATGAGAAAATGATTTCTGTTGATTCATTCTCCTTGGTCTTGTTGAAGGAAAATGTTGATTGAAGAGTTACGTTAGCCACTTGTGACAATTGCTACAATATATGTACATAGTGGAGTTGTTGTAAGCGTTCTTGTTGATTGATTTGAGTAAGCTATTTCACTGCTAGTAGGTTTGGTTTCTGAGTTAATTGATGATCGATAGAAAGTTTCTCCTGAAATGAATTCGGTGCAAGGAGATGTACTAATTTGGTGCATCTCCGCGGTAACACTTCTGTTCATGAGATATGTTTAATTAGAGGTGTTTTTGTAATCAAACAACTATTGTTTTAAATTCTGCTTTGTACTTTGAACTGCATTTTTAATTTACCCTTTAAGTTTGCGATCACGTTCTTGGTTAAATTATGGAAAAATTGTAGCCAATCATCTTCGATGAAGAAGCTTACTGACACCTTCTGTAAATTGACAACAACCTTAGATTTTCAAACTGTAATTTTAGTACTTTCCTATCTGTTAGTATGAAAAGTCTGTTTACTGGTATATACCTTGTAGTTTTTATGTTGTTCTCCTAGTTTTATATTGGCCAGTTGACTTAAGCTTAGCAGTGAAAACTTCGGTTGAAGAGTCATTTCGACAAAGCAATTATCTCGAAGGTTTCCTGCTAATGAAACTGTTTTAACCAATCGGATTAGACTTGCGTCAGCATTCGGTTTGTGCTAAGCAGCTGGTTTCCTGGCTGATATAAAAATGCGTGTAACACTGATCTAGCAGAGAATTGTTAAGTACGAGTTGCGCTAACTTCGTGTCACCTGACTGAAGAATTAAAGAGAGTCAATTGAACAAGTACTCGTCTGTTTGTTGTGAGAACCAGCTAGTTCCCCGGAAAGGTTCCTCAACATCTTTAGCGGTGGCCTGTTGGTCTAGTGGCATGATTCTCGCTTAGGGTGCGAGAGGTACTGGGTTCAACTTCTGGGCAGTAGCCGAGAGATTTTTACGAATAAATGCCGGCAACAGAAGAATTTCGACTCAGACCCCAAAAAGGCGTGGCACTATAACCACGTGATATTTACTCCCATCGCCCAAAATTTTATGCTATGTTGTAGATTGATCTATACGTTATCCATGCTATATGTTAGACTTAGGATCAAAGTAAGCGAGGGGATACCAGAGAGTTTCAAAGTCGGATAGTACCCCCACAAAATAACTGGGTCGAGTCACCTTAATTGCAAATTAGGAAATAGGAAATTTGCATATGGTCACCTTTTCAGTACAAATCAACGCCCGCCCTGCAGCTAAGCATTTTCTTCTTATTATAGCATAACTGATCTAACAAACCTATTCCTGATCACCTCTAATTTTTAAGTGTATTTTTTCCTACGCGCGTTGTTGAATTTATCATCATAGCGCGAACAGAGAAGTCGACGATTCATAGACTTTATTAAACAAGCCTGCCAAGTAGGTCATCTATCAAACAGATGGTTCTCGTAATTTTAAAAGCAATTTCTTAAGATCTCTTTATAACTTCCTTTTCAGCTGGTATTTCGATGATATTGTTCCCAGGGCAAGGACGTGCGCCAAATAATTAAAGCAAGCAATTAATTGAGGGAAATTAAGGTCTGTAACCTGACAAAATGTTATCGAAGCAATTCCTGGTATGTCGGCGTCTACATATAATGTTCTAAAATGTTCTGCAATTGGTATAGGATTGATGGAGCCGAAACCAATTGTGGAAACGTACACATTTTAGGTATCCTACTGATGAACAGTTACGACACGTAGATATTAATATTTTTAGCAACTGCTATAATGCGGTCTGTCCACTTTGAATATAATCTTCACTTTGAATAGAATACAGTTGACTCCCGATAACTCGAACCTCCCACTAACTCGAAGTAATTCTTACTTCCCTTCAGAACATTTCTACATCATTTTACCCTCGATGTCTCGAACTATGTTTTAAGTGCCACTTGTAAAGCAACTTTACTTCATCCATACTTTTACATAAATTATGACCTAAATTTGCAAACCGCTGAATTTCTCGCATTGGGTCTTTGCGATTTTGGTGAAACTCTGTTGAACACAAGGCACGAATGCGCACTATAAGTAGCCGAGAGATTTTCACCTAAAAATGCCGGCAAGAGCAGAATTTCGACTCAGAGCTCAAAGAGACGTGGCACTATAACCACGTGACATTTACTCCAATCGCCAAAAATTTTATGCTATGTTGTAGATTGATCTATACGTTATCCATGCTATATGTTAGACTTAGGATCAAAGTAAAAGAGGGGATACCAGAGAGTTTCAAAGTAGGATGGTACCCCCACAAAATAACTGGGTCGAGTCACCTTAATTGCAAATTAGGAAATAGGAAATTTGCATATGGTCACCTTTTCAGTACAAATCAACGCCCGCCCTGCAGCTAAGCATTTTCTTCTTATTATAGCATAACTGATCTAACAAACCTATTCCTGATCACTTATAATTTTTCCGTTTATTTTTTCCTACGCGCGTTGTTGAATTTATCATCATAGCGCGAACAGAGAAGTCGACGATTCATAGACTTTATTAAACAAGCCTGCCAAGTAGGTCATCTATCAAACAGATGGTTCTCGTAATTCTAAAAGCATTTTCTTAAGATCTCTTTATAACTTCCTTTTTAGCTGGTATTTCGATGGTATTGTTCCCAGTGCAAAGTCCTGCGCCAAATAAGCAAGCAATCAATTGAGGGAAATTAAGGTCTGTAACCTGACAAAATGTTATCGAAGCAATTCCAGATACGTCGGCGCCTGACATATAATGTTCTAAAATGTTCTGCAATTGGTATTAAGATTTAATGGAACCGAAACCAATTGTGGAATTGCAAACATTTTAGGCATCCTACTGATGAACAGTTACGACACGTAGATATTAATATTTTTAGCAACTACTATAATTTGAAGTCTGTCCACTTTAAATATAATCTTCACTTTGAATCGAGACACTGTTGACTCCCGAGAACTCGAACCTCCCACTAACTCGAAGTAATTTTTACTTCCTTTCTGGACTTCTCTACATCATTTTATCCTCGATCACTCGAACTATGTTTTAAGTGCCACTTTAAAACCATCTTTCCTTCATCCAAGTGAAAGAATTTTTCCTTATCGGTGTTTTGTCATGGAATTTAAAGAGTTCCTCTTTATTGACGAATTTGTGATGTTCTCACGGTGCACGTTTTCAGAAAAAATAATAAATAAATAATAAATAAAAAAAACCTCTCAATTTTCAGGTGAGTTTCCCCTAATTGAACATTTTGAGTTATGGGGTAAATTGACCGAAAACATATCACGTTTGCTCAACTAAAACTACGCTTCCCGACGTGGTAATATGTTGCAATTCGTAACTAATTTATAAGTTTCATTGGTTGGAGTCTAGCGAAGTATTTGTTAATATCATTGTACACCTGTCAAGTTACCTTATGTTTGTTACCACACGTTTCTGATAGGTTGTGTTAAATAAACAAGCGCAATTTATACAACATAAAAACCTTGTGTGTCATAGCGGAAAAGAACACTTTTTCTGAAGCAGTCAAAGTAAGGCATCTCGTCTCCACAGCAAGAAAAATGGTGAACTCTACGGAAGGCGGAAACGTCACTGTGATGAAGACACTGCTTTCTGCAAACATACGTGTAGGTTTATGCATTGCGTTAGCAGCTGTAAATATTGTTTTCTCCATCACGGCATCTCTGGGCAACGTTCTGATCCTGATTGCTCTTCGCAAAGTGACTTCTATTCATCCGCCGACAAAACTGTTGTTTCAATGCTTGGCCATCACTGATCTTGGAGTTGGTTTCATTTCGCAGCCACTCATGGCCACCATGTTCCTGATTGTTGACATTAAAAATTTTGACTTTAAATATTGGAATATTTTCTTTTACCGTCTATGGGGGTCTTTATCTATCATTTTTTGTGGAGTATCAGTTTTTGCATCAACTGCCTTGAGTGTGGACAGACTTCTCGCGCTGTTTTTGGGGTTGAGGTACAGACACGTTGTAACACTGAAGCGAGTTCGTGCAGTTCTTGCCTGTGGTTGTTTAGCCCTTCTATTGATTATGTTGGTTTGGTATTTTCACGCAAAAACCTGCAAGATTTCAATGCCAATTTTCTGGACACTTTGTCTCATTATCTCGCTGTTCTCGTACACGAAGATTGTCCTTAGACTTCGTCAACATCAGTTCAGTGTACAAGACAACGTCCAGCAAGGACAAGCGAACACAGGACGAATTCCATTGAACTTAGAACGATATAAAAAAACTGTTGTAAGCATAGCTTTAGTGCAGCTGGCATTAGTTATATGCTATTTTCCTTCTAGTATTGTCTTTATTTTGATTCATCTGAAGGGTATGCACCCTAGTATTGATTTTATATTACATGGTTATTGTGCAACTCTGGTTTTCCTAAACTCGTCTTTAAATCCGTTTCTGTACTGCTGGAGAATCAAAGAAATACGAAAAGCAGTGAAAGCCACAATCAGAAGGTTTTGCACCTGTTTAAGTCAATGAACATCCACTCTATCTACGAATCAGTAAAAATTATTGTGTAACTACAACTCATTCTCTCTTGGTAATAGTAGTGTCAACTGAAAACCAATAACTGAAGCTAATAACTTGTAAGAAATCAATAAAAACCACCTTTCTTTAAAGGATTATCGATATTTGAGAAAAAATGATAATAAATAATAGTAAATTTTCACCATGTTTCAGCTACCAGCACCATATTCCTCCCTGATGATTCGTGCGCATTTTATCAAAAGAGGTAAAATCCTAACTTTTGGTTTCTTTACTGCTTAACATTAGTCTGGATTTTTTGTCTATTTTTACCCCTGATCCAGACCGTGGGGTGAGAAGGGCGGGGGGGGGGGGGGGGGGGAAGAGAAAAAGAGAACTAACAACAAACTCAACCAACCCTCACATGGCGTCGACGCCAGGATTTGAACCCGGGCCACATCAGAGAGAGGCGGCGAGTGCTTTCACCACTGCGCCACCCTTACCCCTCCCCTAAAATGGCCATAGATTTATAACCTGCTCAAAACTTAAGAAATAAATTTTTCCAGAAAGTGGTACTTGAATATAAGATAGGAGGCATTTTGTGGTAAACATCGATCGGAAAAGGAAAATAAATCAAATAAGAATTCATCGAAGTGATAAGGGTGGCCTGTTGGTCTTGTAGCATTATTCTCGCTTAGGGTGCGAGAGGTCCTGGGTTCGACTTCCAGACAGGCCCTAAAAAACAGTATCTAATTTAATGCCTACGTGACTTTTTTTTTGGCTTATCATTTTTACACAAATTATGTCCTAAATTTGCAAACCGCTGAATTTTTCGCATTGGGTCTTTGAGTTTTTGGTGAAACTCTGTTCAACGCAAGGTACTAATGCCCGCTATATGTAGCCGAGAGATTTTCACCTTAAAATGCCGGCAAGAGCAGAATTTCGACTCAGACCCCAAAGAGACGTGGCACTATAACCACGTGACATTTACTCCAATGGCCAAAAATTTTATGCTCTATTGTAGATTGATCTATACGTTATCCATGCTATATGTTAGACTTACGATCAAAGTAAACGTGGGGATACCAGACAGCTTCAAAGTACGAAGGTAGCCCCACAAAATAACTGGGTCGAGTCACCTTAATTGCAAATTAGGAAAAAGGAAATTTGCATATGGTCATCTTTTCAGTACAAATCAACGCCCGCCCTGCAGCTAAGCATTTTCTTCTTATTATAGCGTAACTGATCTAAAAAACCTATTCCTGGTCATTTATAATTTTTACGCGTATTTTTTCCTAAGCGCGTTCTTGAATTTATCATCATAGTGCGAACAGAGAAGTCGAGGATTCATAGACTTTATTAAACAAGCCTGCCAAATAGGCCATCTATCAAACAGATGGTTCTCGTAATTCTAAAAGCAATTTCTTAAGATCTCATTACTTCCTTTTCAGCTGGTATTTCTATGTTATTGTTCCCAGTGCAAAGTCCTGCGCCAAATAAGCAAGCAATCAATTGAGGGAAATTAAGGTCTGTAACCTGACAAAATAGGGCCATTTATACGAGGAAAAATAAGACGCGTCTAAAATAAGACGCGAACTGTACCATTTATACGAGCATATCTTATCTAATAAGACGCGTCTTAGCTAATCCGCGCCTTATTTTAGACGAAATGTGCCGTTTATACGGAAAGTTCGCGTCTTATTTAAGACGTGTCTTATGTAAGACGCGTCTTATTTTTCCTCGTATAAATGGCCCTAATGTTATCGAAGCAATTCCAGATATGTCGGTGCCTGACATATAATGTTCTAAAATGTTCTGCAATTGGTATAAAGATTTAATGGAAGCGAAACCAATTGTGGAATTGCACACATTTTAGGCATCCTACTGATAAACAGTTACGACACGTGGATATTGATATTTTTAGCAACTACTAGATAATTTGCAGTCTGTCCACTTTGAATACAATCTTTACTTTGAATCGAGACACTGTTGACTCCCGAGAACTCGAACCTCCCACTAACTCGAAGTAATTTTTACTTCCCTTCTGGACATCTCTACATCATTTTACCCTAGATGACTCGAAATATGTTTCAAGTGCCACTTGTAAACCAACTTTACTTCATCCAAGTGAAACGACAAAGAATTTTCACTTATCGGTGTTTTGTCATGGAAGTTAAAGAGTTCCTCTTAACAAATGATACGCGTACGCATTTAACAATGGAAAAATATTCTAAATTTTGTTCGCGAATTTGTGATGTTCTCAGGGTGCACGTTTTCAGAAAAAACAATAAATAAATAATAAATTAAAAAACTCTCTATTTTCAGTTGAGTTCTCCCTAATTGAGCATGTTGACTTATGGGGTAACTGACTGAAAACATATGACGTTTGCTCAACTAAAACTACGCTCCCCGACATGGTAATATGTTGCAACTCGTAACTAATTTATAGTTTTTATTGGTTGGAGTCTAGCGAAACATTTGTTAAATATAATTGTACACCTGCTAACTTACTTTATGTTTGTTACCACACGTCTGATAGGTGTGTTAAATAAACAAACGCAATTTATACAACATAAAAACCTTGTGTGTCATAGCGGAAAAGAACACTTTTTCTGAAGCAGTCGAAGTAAGGCATCTCGCCTCCACAGCAAGAAGAATGGTGAACTTGACGGAAGACGGAAACGTCACTGTGATGGAGACACTGCTTTCTGCAAACATACGTGTAGGTTTCTACATTGCGTTAGCAGCTGTAAATATTGTTCTCTCTATCATGGCATCTCTGGGCAACGTTCTGATCCTGATTGCTCTTCGCAATGTGACTTCTATTCATCCGCCGACAAAACTGTTGTTTCAATGCTTGGCCATCACTGATCTTGGAGTTGGTCTCATTTCCCAGCCGCTCATGGTCGCCAGGTCCCTGATTGTTTATATTAAAAATCTTGACTTAAAATTTTGGAATATTTTCTCTCACCTTCTATTCAGGTCTTCATCTATTATTTTTAGTGGATTATCGGTTTTTGCATCAACTGCCCTGAGTGTGGACAGACTTCTCGCCCTGTTTTTGGGGTTAAGGTACAGACACGTCGTAACATTGAAGCGAGTTCGTGCAATTCTTGCCTGTGGTTGTTTAGCCTTTCTATTGATTATGTTGGTTTGTTATTTTCACGTAAAAACCGGCGGGATTACAATGGCAATTTTGTATACACTTTGTCTCATTATCTCACTGTTCTCGTACACGAAGATCGTCATTAGACTTCGGCAACATCAGTCCAGTGTAGGAGACAATGTTCAGCAAGGACAAGCGAACACAGGAGGAATGCCATTGAACTTAAAACGATATAAAAAAAACTGTTGTAAGCATAGCTTTAGTGCAGCTAGCATTAGTTATATGCTATTTTCCATTTAATATTGTCCTTTTTGTTGTTCATCTGAAGGGTATTCACCCCCGTCTTTATTTTATTTTGAATTTTACTGCAACTCTGGTTTTCCTAAACTCGTCTTTAAACCCGTTTCTGTACAGTTGGAGGATCAAAGAAATACGACAAGCGGTGAAAGCAACAATCAGAAGGTTTTGCGCGTGTTTAAGTCAAGGAACATCCACTCTATCTACGAATCAGTAAAAATTATTGTGTAACAGCAGCTCATTCTCTCTTGGTAATAGTAGTGTCAACTGAAAACCAATAACTGAAGCTAATAACTTGAAAGAGACCAATAAAAACAATCATGCTTTTAAGGTTTATCGATATTTGAGAAAAAATGATAATAAATAAATAGTAAATTTTCACCATGTTTCAGCTACCAGCACCATATTCTTCGTATTAAGAATAATATGTGCGCATTTTATCAAAAGTGGTAATTTCCAAACTTTTAGTTTCTTTACTGCTTAACGTTAGTCTGAATTTTTTTTCATTTTTACCCCTGATTCAGCATGCGTGGGGTGAGCGGGGGGGAGGGTTGCTTTTGAGCCCCCCCCCCCCTAAAAAGTTGAATAACTTCAAAACCGTTCAATCTATGACCACCAAACCCAGCAACTTTTCCTAAAATTTATCTGGACTGGATAATAGACTCGAAATTAATAAGATAAGGAGGGAAACAAGCCAATGCATAAATTTTAAAGTATTCAATTCGATAACGTCTACTTTGATTCCTAGTCGAATTGCAATTTGAAAATGTTGTTTTTTTTAAGGAGAGGGGAAAACCGGAGTAACCGAAAAAAAACCTCCGGGAGCAAAGGAGAGAACCAACAACAAACTCAACCAACCCTCACATGGCGTCGACGCCAGGATTTGAACCCGGGCCACATCAGAGGGAGGTGAGGAGTGCTTTCACCACTGCGCCACCCTTACCCTCCCTTAAAATGGCGATAGATTTATAACCTGCCCAAAACTTAAGAGCGAGAAAGTCGAGTAACACGCGAGTGACTGGTGACAAAATGTAAGGGACCATGGGAAGGAGAAAAACGAGAGGCACGATTTCTACTCCCCGCCTTCCTTTACGCCCAAAATTTTATCGAGGGAGAGACGTATGGGTACGAGGCTGGGTCGGAGGTTTTTTAGTTTAAAGTGGCTACACTGGATTTTTTAGTGGCCGGAACCTCCCAATTTTTAGCCTTAATTACGTTGCCTATACAAAGATATAGAAAATATAAGAAGTCACCACAGCTTCATCTAGAAGATACTAAAATTTGTTATTTGCAGTATAGACTGCGAGCAATCATAAATTCTTCAGATTTATCGAGGGGAGTGCCTCTCCCGTCTCGCGCTTTCAGTCACGCACGTGGTCATTTGCGTTTCTTACGCTTTTTGCTCTACGGGCCGATGCTCGCAGTCTATATGCAGTAAAAGATCAAAATCTCTGTGGCAAAATCCGATAGGTTATAAAAGAAAGGTCGATAAATGGTTAGTCTTTGCTGCCTCAATAGCATGGGTCCCTAAATTCTGCAGTCTACCTAAAGCTGCTGAAACTCAGGAATTCACGGCTTCTTCCATTAGTTACATGTACAAACACAGTAGACCTGCACCGTTCTAAACCGCTTATTTCACTGGTCCCTTTTAATCTGCGCTTCCNAAACGAGAGGCACGATTTCTACTCCCCGCCTTCCTTTACGCCCAAAATTTTATCGAGGGAGAGACGTATGGGTACGAGGCTGGGTCGGAGGTTTTTTAGTTTAAAGTGGCTACACTGGATTTTTTAGTGGCCGGAACCTCCCAATTTTTAGCCTTAATTACGTTGCCTATACAAAGATATAGAAAATATAAGAAGTCACCACAGCTTCATCTAGAAGATACTAAAATTTGTTATTTGCAGTATAGACTGCGAGCAATCATAAATTCTTCAGATTTATCGAGGGGAGTGCCTCTCCCGTCTCGCGCTTTCAGTCACGCACGTGGTCATTTGCGTTTCTTACGCTTTTTGCTCTACGGGCCGATGCTCGCAGTCTATATGCAGTAAAAGATCAAAATCTCTGTGGCAAAATCCGATAGGTTATAAAAGAAAGGTCGATAAATGGTTAGTCTTTGCTGCCTCAATAGCATGGGTCCCTAAATTCTGCAGTCTACCTAAAGCTGCTGAAACTCAGGAATTCACGGCTTCTTCCATTAGTTACATGTACAAACACAGTAGACCTGCACCGTTCTAAACCGCTTATTTCACTGGTCCCTTTTAATCTGCGCTTCCATTGTTTGCAGACATAGGGGCATTGTTATGTGATAATCCCTATTGTTTTCCCAACTAATCAAAAACAATCTTTCAAATGGGTGTGGGATCGTCCTATAAACAACACTAAGTAAAACGACAAGTTTGCATACAAATCAGATTCTTAGTACTAGATAACGAATAGTCGAATTTTTTTTTCATAAGTGAAAAATTTTTTTTGAATACCACTCTTGACCAGAAAAAGAAGAAAAAATAGCAGAACAAAATGGAGGGTTGGTCCGTGTGAGGGTCGAACTCACGACCTTGGCGTTTGGGCGCCATCAGTTCGAGCCAAAACGTGACGTCATCACACGAAGAGACCCACCCCTCAGCTTTTTTGGCGAAATTTGTGTCGACAGCCAGCGCGTCGAGTCTGCCGACTGAGCTAACGGACCTTGGCGTTATCAGCACCACGCTCTGCCGACTGAGCTAACGGACCAAGCACACGCCGATTAGAAATTTTGACCAGTAACTTTCTAATCCACTGATTGAAATTCAAATGAGTGCACCTTAAGGTGGCTCGATACAGTTTTTTAGAGTGAATACCTCCCACGTTTGAGCGGAAACTACGTCGCCATAAACAAAGATTTGGACAAATTAACACCACAGTTGTATTAGATAAAGATGAAACTTTGTTATGATCAGGGTTGCAATGACATCGTAGTTGTCATGGCAACGAAATGACGCCATTACCTATTTTACTTGCAGCAGTATTTCTCGGCACTGGGAACTGTTGTTCCAAAATCGTTTACTGGAGCTTTTTTCTACAATAGCCGCCTCGATATTCGTGAAGTTTAAGCGAAATCTGTAAGAACGTTTTCGAGATATTTTGGGAAGAAGTTTTTATGGTTAGACATACGGTAAAAAAATGGACGATCTTGATGTTCGACTGTTATCTATACTAAACGAAGCGCTTTTGGCATGTAATTTCACCTCATAGTAGCTTCAATCTTTTTGAAAACGTGAGTAAAAGATCATGGAGATACCTCCAGCTGATTGCTAGAAAGAAGGATTTGATTAGTATGTATCGGGGCGCTCTTATTAGCGGTAATGTAAATATTTCGGTCTACTTTAACAAATTAACGAATAATTTTGAAACCGCTCGATAAATTTTTTAGAAAATTTAAGAGTCTTGAGATAAACCGTCCTTTTATATGACCTCTTAGTTTCAAGATTATTGATATATTGTAAGGTAGTAAAATAAGGGCTACAATTCGCTAATATTTTGTCAGAAATTTTGTCTTTAAAAGTGAGAGTCTCTGATTATTCAGGGTATTGTCTCAAGGTTTCATTTTCACGTGAACAGCAGTAACTAACAATGCATTTGACATATGCAAAAATGCTAGCTATTGTTGTGCACGAGAATATGAATTTTGGAAACAATACCCCTGAATAATGAGAGGCTATCACTTGTAAACACAAAACTCTTGACAAAATATTAGCGAATTCAAGCCCAATATACCGATAATTTGTCTAGGGTCCAAGTATTTATATGGATTTTCCTTTGTACCAATTTCTAGTCAACTAGACTGAAAAAGTTGATATTGTTAGACCGTTTTTAACAAGAGAGCTTTTTTAAAGGTGATGAGTTTTTGGCATAAATGTAAAACTAGAGAGCCAATCCCGTCGTGTTTCATCAAACGTAGGCAATTTCAAAAAAGAACTGCGCTTGACGAGAAATAAAAAAAAAACAGAAGTTTAATTGGTTTTCCACCCGAAGCGACGGCCGCAAATGCAGTACATGGGTAGTCGCACTGCTAGAGAGATCTAGAGATAGTAGAGCTTTTGCATCTGGGTTCACATGACCTATCTCGTGCCAAAATTTATGGACACAACTTTAAAAAAATATATAGATGGAAAGAGAATTGAAAATATCATAGGCCTATCAATTTTGAGGTTTTTAATTTCTCAAAAGCGAGACTCGCTGACGGTTTAAATAATGAATAAATACAATCTGTACACTGCACAAAGGGAAACATCGCTCACGCGTGTGCCTTAATTGCATCTAGGAAATAGGAAATTTGCATATGGTCACCTCTTCAGTGCAAATCAACGCCCGCCCTGCAGCTAAGCATTTTCTCTTATTATTGCGTAACTGACCTAAAAAACCTATTCCTGACCACTTATAGTTTTTACGTATATTTCTTTTAAGCGCGTTGTTGAATTTATCATCATAGCGCATGTAGGTTATCTAACAAATAAATGGTTTTCCAATTTCTTAAGATCTCTTAATAACTTCCTGTTTAGCTGATATTGTTCCTAAATTAGAATGTTAGGCAAGGTCGTGGACCAAGTAAGCAAGCAATTAATTGAGGGAAATTAAGGTCTGTAACCTGACAAAATGTTATCGAAGCAATTCGAGGAATATGAATAGAGTACAGTTGAATAGAATACAGTTGACCCCCGATAACTCACTGCAAACTTTATAAATTAAGAGTGTATCAAGAGCAGCTGGTCATACCTTCCTTCCTTAGACGAAGATAAGACGTTTCACTGACGTTTGCGCCTCCATGATTTGAACTCGAAAACAATGACAAGTTCTGACGAAGTGAACATCACAACCACGCTGACCCAAGTAATCCCACTGCAAACAGACGTGGCTGTATTTCTGTCAGCTTTGAATATCTTCCTTGCTATCACAGCTTCTCTTGGCAATGCCTTGATCCTGAATGTTCTCCCCAAAACTTCTCTTCACTCACCAACAAAACTGCT